CCACCAGGGCGCTTAACCTCCCCTGTCAAAACACCCAGCAACCACTTGCCCGCAACAAAATTGCGGAATTGAAACTCCCACATAGCACAGTTCTTGATCAAACTTAATGGAGATAGAATCCATCATTGATTCCATACCTCAATGCAATAATCACATGCAAGAAAACCAAATAACCAGCGACAAGAAACCAAATAACCAGTGGGAAATTACCTTCAAGCGCAAGCCTACAAGAAACCAAAGGCTCGCCTAATTCCCTTCCACTAAAGCTGTCGCACAGCTCTCCCCTGCCACGCAAAGCGAAACAAACTAGGAAGAGACCGTAATCAACACATCTTTCTCCGGTAATTTCGACACAAAAAAAAAAATTTAATTTCGATTGAACGGGCAGTTTCCAAATATTTTTCTAGTACCAGGAGTCAAGGTGATCTATGCACCAATTTTGCTCCGAAGTAGAGGGCTATGTCTGATTTTTTTTTCTTATAAGCTGATTTGGCAGTATAAAGATCATTATCAGTCTCTGTCTAAATCAGTTCATCCTAAGATGAATTAAAGGAGGGAGAAGAAACATTCACTTTAATGAAAGGAAAAGATTCTCATATAGGAGAGAATATACAACACAACCTCCAACAATGAAATACTGTCACCGTAGAAAAAAATTATATGGGTTAGATTTGTATCTAATGAGCACAAAGTCTTGACTTTTATTATGTAACTAGGGGCGTAAACCCGCGCTTTGCAGCGGCTCTGGATGGGCTTTTATCTTCGTTGTTTGCAAGCCCATATACAATTCATTCCGTACGTAGCCTTTTCCATTTTGAACATTTATTAGCACCCATCAAATTCATTCTCTATCTATTAAGTTGGGGAAACCCCTCAATTGAGACCTAGCTTTTTCCCACCGCAGTTTCTTTGCCTCTTCATTCTCTCTGTACAAATAAATAAACCTAGCCTTCTATCAATCTATCCGTTCATCTCCATTCTATCATCAATTGAGTAAAACCTCCAAAAACAAAAGAAGAAATTGAAGGATAACTTTCCTTGGATTTTCTTGGCCCAAACTAATCCGTTGAATTCAATTTCACCTGCATATTTTCAGCTCCTTCAGTTTGGCTCGAGCAAAGATGAATCTAAAACAGAAGGTCTAAGTCCATACCTTCATCTCCTTCCATCCCCATCCCTTTGTCGAAATTTTAGGATTTGGTATGAATCTTATCTTTTTTTTTCCCCCGGGGTGAAAGAAAATCCTCAATGAGGCTGCCATGACATGCATGTCGTCCTTAAAGTCATATCCGTTATTGCATAGGTCTAATGGTGTGTCAGCGCCCAGAAGACGTTTTCTCCCTTGTGTGGTGGGGATTATATCTTTGTGGTCATGGTCTGGTTTCTGGATATTACTTATCTAGATTTAGAGTCCAGTATTCAAGTTCCTAGATTTGGAAAGTTTTTGAGTTTTTAGCTTTGGATTTCGCATACTCTATCAGCCTGTTTGGATAGACAAAAAACTCAAGAATTGGAATTCCATTTTCAATTCCAGTTCCATATTTTATGTTTGGAAGGATAAGAAGGTTGAGAAATGAATTCCATTTGGGCTAAGTTTTGGAAATTACAATTCCTATCAAAAGTGATAGGAATTGTGTTTATGAAGATGGAATTAGTGGGTCCCATAACTATTTATTATTATTTTATTAACCAACCATCACCCTACTCTCTTTCTCTATCATTCATATTTCATTTTCCAAGATAAAATAAATATATTCTATTATTAATTATTGTTAAAAGTGCAATTCATTTCTTTAGTTGAAGGAATTATACCAAACACTAAAATTGCAAATGAAATTCTATAAAAATAGGAATTGGAAATAGAATTCCATTTCCATTTCTTCTTGAATTGTATCCAAACAGGCTGTATATGATCTGATACTTCATTTGGAATGATTTCATGCAGGTTAAAGCTTTCTCTCTATTGTGGGACCCTGTAAGTGAGGATAAGAATCAAGTATATCACCTCAACAGTGAATAATTCAAATAAGTTGGATAAATTAATTTATAACCAACCATCACCACAACGGAACATCAATTCAAACATGCAACTAAAAAGAAAGCTATAGAGTGACCACGTGTTTCAGGATAAGTGGGTTGTCATTTGTAAATTTAAACCCAATTGTCGTTTTAACCTTTCTCTTATGCAACAGTAACCATCTTATTTGTTTAATAAGTATTAAGACAGTATCAAAACGGAAACATGAAATTTTGTTTCAAACACTCTGTTGCGCTATGTCGTAAGCAAGAAAGAGCACAATAAGCCAATAAATTTATACACAGTTATTAAGGTTGTTTATAATTTATGTCTAAACATGAATTTTTAATTGTCTTTTTTCAGGTTATGATATTTCTTTCTCGTATTATTACATTATATTTGTATCGTTTGAGATACTTTTTCATACACAATATATGAACTGTTTTGCTATGTTCAAAAATTTCTAAGTCATTGATTGTTATGTATGAATTTTTAACTATGATTGTTGAGATATTTGAATTAAAATTGTTTGCCCTATGATAAAATAGTTTTTTCAAAACCTAAAAAAGCAATTGCAAATATCAAACAATGTATTCTACAATAGATCACATTCATCTTAGGTTCCAAAAGCATAATCAATGAAAAAATTTCGCCCTATATCATGTTGCAATGCCTTATACAAGTGTATCTCTAAATACTAGCTACGATAATTAGTGTAGTCCTGCCAAGTCTTATTAGTTCTAATCAACCTGATTTCATTAAAAGGCAGATAGATTAGTGACAATATCCTATTAGCTCATGAGATGGTGAAGTGGTACAATCCTACTACTGTTTCCCCTAGATGTGAAGTAGAAGTTATGAAGGCATTTGACAGCGTTGATTGATTGTTTCTGATAAATACTATGGAAGTGATGGGATTTCCAGGCACTTTCATTAGTTGGGTTAGATTTTGGTTAGCTTGAGCCTTATTTAGAGTGAACTTGAATGGAGGATTGACAGGTAGTTTCAGGGGCAGGAAGGGGATTAGGCAGACGAATCCCCTCCCCCTACCTCTTTACCATTGTTATGAAAGTCCTTACATGCATGCTGAACAAAGCTGGCACCACAAGATTCATTCCTCTGTACCATCAGTGTGGTTGTATCGGGCTTACACACCTAACTTTCGCGGATGATCTATTGATTTTCGCCCAAAGGATAGTTGCCTGGAGGATCTACTGCAGCTGATGCAGAAGGTTTTGGAATGGAAGTTACTTCTTAGCCTGGAAATTAAAGTGGCAGTATAAAATAAAAGGTTATGGGTAAATTCCATGTTTGGTTAGTAGGTTTACTTAAAAAAAATGTCATGTTTAGTCACTAGAAATAATTAATTCCAATTTTAGTCACTCAAATTAGTCAAATAGCTCATGCTTAGTCACTCTAATTAGTCAAACAGTTTGTGATTGATCACTCGAATTAGTCAAATAGTCCATGTAAGGTCACTCGAATGAGTCAAACAGTTCGTCGGAGAGTGACCAAACATGGACTGTTTGACTAATTTGAGTGACCACACATAGAATGTTTGATTATTTCGAATGACCAACACTGAAATTAAATATTTCTAGTGACTAAACATGACATTTTTTGGTAAACCTAGCGACCAAATATGAAATTTACCCAAAAATTCTGTTTCCCGACTTAGCTTGTGCTTATTCGGTTCTTTGAATGTATGCACGGTTTGATTGAGTTTGAGTGTGGTTGGTCTGTTTGTTAGTCTATAGTCTATACGTAGACTCGGGCTGTAATAGTTTTAGGTTGTATTTGTTTCATCATTTAAGTTTCTTCTGTTTTGTCAAAACTGAAACGTAAGTTTCCTTTCCTACTCCCTTGTGGTTGTGGAGTTATTGTCTTCTTGATGAAATGAAGCATGTTTCCTTTCCTACTTCCTTTCCTACTCCCTTGTGGTTGTGGAGTTATATTCCTTACAATTCATCAATTCAACAATCACAATACCCCTAAATCGCATAGATCTCATCATCTTGCTATCAACTCACAACTAATTTCCTTAATTTCTACCATACAAATTCATTATTCATATTTTACTAATATATCTGCATCGTTGTTGTCCAGTTAATGCGGTTTATTATTAGGAAAAGATCTCTTGTCATGTTAGGTGGCAGAACACCTAATACCTGTTCATTCGCGCCATTTTATACTCACTCACGTCATTTTGTGCTCATTCACGTAATACTATGGTGATTTACGTAAAAGTGTAAGCTTTTCACGTAAATGGAAATTCATACTTTTTCCTCTAATAATTTGTATTGGCTATATCTTATAGAATTAAATTTGGATTTTCATTTAATCTGCACAAATATGTTGCATTGATCATAATCTATAGAATGATATCCATTTTGATATATCTCAAAGTTTAAAATTTTATTTTACAACGGCGTGAATAATTAACAATATGCATGAATAAACATCAGGTGGCGTGACCTAACAATATTGAACGTCAAGCAATACGTGGAGTAACTCCCGATATAGCAGTAAAAGCAAGACGTGTAGGCGGATCGACTCATCAAGTTCCGATTGAAATAGGATCCACACAAGGAAAAGCACTTGCCATTCGTTGGTTATTAGGGGCCTCCCGAAGACGTCCGGGCCGAAATAGCAATGATTCGAAGCACTTCTTTTTACACTATTTCCGAAACCCAAGGACTCAATCGTATGGATATGTAAAATACAGGATTTCCAATCCTAGCAGGAAAAGGAGGGAAACAGATACTCAATTTAAAGTGAGTAAACAGAATTCCATTGCGTGAATAATGAACGCTCTTAAGTGAATAACGCAAATATGACGTAAATAACATAAATATGACATACCCAAAATTAGGTGTTTTGTTACCTTTATTATTTATCCGCCCCTCCGACCAAGTTGCTTGCTGGAATTGTACGGACACGATAGGATCTATAAATATACACCGAGCACTCACTCACCCACTCTGAAACACCATTGTTCGTCAGGCCACTAACTTTCTCTCTCTCTCTCTCTCCGAAAAGAATCTCATCGTACTCAATCCGTAGATCTCTGCTCCCATCCCCTGTCCCAAAAAAAAAAAAAACCATGTTAAATTCCACACCACCAAAAACAGAGCTCCCAGATTGTCACTACAGAGACCAACCAACTTTGATCCCGCCGATCGCCCCAACTCCCGCCCACTCCCTCTACCTTTCCAACGTTGACGACCAGAAATTCCTCCGATTCTCCATCAAGTACCTCTACGTCTTCCGCAAATCCATCGCCGCCGAATCGCTGAGGGAGTCCCTCTCCAGAGTCCTCGTCGACTACTACCCGCTCGCCGGCCGCTTGAGGAAGAGCCCCGGCGGGGACGGCGAGAAGCTGGAGGTCGATTGCAATGGGGAAGGCGCTCTTTTCGCTGAAGGGTTCATGGATTTCGCCGTCGATGAGTTTCTCGGAATCTCCGAGAAGCCCAATCGGTCCTGGAGGAAGCTGCTTTTCAGAGTTGAAGGGCAGAGCTTCTTCGACATCCCTCCGCTTGTCGTCCAGGTAAATTAATAAATAACTCTTCAACTTTTTTTTCCATTAGCATAAACATTACAACTTCAATGGTTAATAAGATCGCAGCCGGTGGTGTGATCCTATTCCTAATTCAATCTCTTTCAACTCAACCAATTCGTTGTTAACATGATATCAAAACCTGTTTGTAATCGAGAGTTAATTTGTTCGAATTTCATTGATCTAATTTATTAAGCAAGTGATTTTTTTATACATGTGCAAACTTCAAATCTTTTCTAAATAAGAGTTGGCTATTTCATTAAGGTCAAACGACACAGTAATGTCAGTACTAGTGTGTTGATGAGGATAGCTCACAATTCGAATTAAAATGCTTAACCACAGTCGTTCGTTGGATGTACGTATTGTCGTTATTTGCAAAATAACACCAAATTAGTTACGGTTAGATATTGTTTATGAATTGTAACTTATATCCGCATCTAATAAATGTAAATTGGGTACTTTGGTGATTAAACCGACAAATTTGAACGTTTTGCAACGACATTACCGGTGGAATCGGTGTCACATGGCGCCGCAGAAAATGTTAACCGGACGTCCGGGCCCCGCCGCTGATTGCTCCTTCGTTTTCATTATCCCTCCGTTGCGTCATTTTCCGGTCCTTGTCAAATTACCAAATTGGTCCCAAAAATTTTGGATTGAAACCTGTATTCATGTGTGTCTCCTTCTGCCAGGTGACGAATCTCCGCTGCGGGGGAATGATTCTCTGCACGGCGATCAACCACTGCATCTGCGACGGGATCGGGACCGCACAGTTCCTCCACGCCTGGGCCCACGCAGCCACCACCAGACCCAATCTCGACCGTCCGATCAAGCCCTTCCACCACCGCCACGTGTTAAAACCCCGAAACCCGACCCGAACCAACCCAACCCACCCGGGCTACCTGATCCACCCCGACCAGCCGGACGGCGCCGTGGACGTCCACCGCTACCTCCTCTCGCAGCCGGTGGTCCCGTCGTCCACCACGTTCTCCGCCGCCGACATCCTCCGGCTGAAGCGGCAGTGCGTCCCCTCGGTGAAGTGCACGGCGTTCGAGGCGCTCGCGTCGCACACGTGGCGTGCGTGGGTCCGGTCCCTGGACCTCCCGCCGACGGTAAACGCCAAGCTGCTGTTCTCAGTCAACGTGAGGAAGCGGGTCGACCCGGCGCTGCCGGACGGGTACTACGGGAACGGGTTCGTCCTCGGGTGCGCGCAGACGGCCGTTAGGGATTTGACGGCGGGGACGAGGAGCCTGCACGACGCCGTTAGGCTCGTGCAGGAGGCGAAGTCAAACGTGACGGGGGATTACGTCAGGTCGTTGGTTGACTTGATGGAGGGCAGGAGGGTAAAAACGGATTTGAGTGCGAGTTTGGTGATTTCGCAGTGGGCGAAGTTGGGATTGGAAGATTTGGAGTTGGGAGAAGCTGGGAAAGGGGTTTTTATGGGGTCGGTGACGAGTGATATTTACTGCCTGTTTTTGCCGGTCGTCGGAGATGCGGAGGCGGTGAGGGTGCTGGTGTCGATGCCGGAGACGGCGGTGGAGAAGTTTGAGTTTTATATGAGGGAGTTTAGTGATGAGAAAGGGATGGTCGTTGATAATGGAGGAGAGGTTAATTATCAGAATGGTACCAATGGGTTTCATGATCATGATCATGATCATTTTACATGAGAATGAGGGGGACTAGATTGAAGGAAAGTGAAAAATGTGAGGGCTACTATTACATGTATCTTTTCTTAGTTAACCTCCAATGTCATATTTAGTCATGATAATTGATAACCATTGTGCAATGTAATGGTAGTATGAGAGTGAGTGGGTGCATGGTGATAATTGTGACTTGTTAGATGTGTTCACAAAATTTTGATCAATGGAAATTATGCATGTGACTAGACTACCTATGTTCTTGCTTTAGATTGGAAGTGTTTAACTAATCCATTAGACTTTAATTTCAGCAAGATCCAAAGGGAGAAATTAATTTGAATTCTTCATATACATAAAACTATATAGCTCTTATATTCATACGATTAATGATGTTGTCGACTGATAACAATAGTAACAGAAACTGAAAACTGAAGATTTTTTCCACTCAAAACATGAAATTTTGTATCCCAATACATTCAAGGCCTTGTTTAAAACTGAAAACATTTCAAGTGATGGAATTATATTCCAACATATCAATCAATAAGTCAACCACTTTTATATTTCTTCGTCGGTCATTATTTTTCCTTCGTATGAGTGCAATTGTGTTATTTTATCGACTGTCTTTTAAAAGTGATCAATCGTTTTCTTCAAAATCACAACAATAAATTAAAGTCCTATCAAATAATACGAATTATCCTTATCTTCGGGTTATCTTGTAAGATGCCCGACTTAGTTAGCGTGGTGATCATTTTTCTTTAGCGATGAGCCCCTAATTGTGGGGAGGGAACATTAAACCTGTGCAATCAAAATCGACAGGATGATCAAACTTAAAGTTTTGTCGCAATCTCTTGACAAGATTGTAGCCTAGAAAAATACTGGGATATTATTCGAGGGCCCCGGCCGGCCGACAGCTTCAAGAAGGCTCAGTTTCAAACATTAGACGTGCATCATCAGCTCAGCTTATTAAAAGAGAAAAGGTATCCTTTAATGGCGCCTGTCTTTATGCCCCCAGATCACCAAATCCCACCTTATACAAAGGTCGCTTTCCTCTTCTTTTATTGCATTCGTCCTTTCACATTTCCCCCTTCTCCTCCCTATATGTCCCAAAGTTTGTTCGCAGCTCTACAAATATTACATATATATCGGCTCTAATCTCATCTAGTACGTGATTCACCAACATGATGTATACTAAGTGTTAACTAATTTACGAATAAGAAAGATCGATTATAAGTGTAAAAACTCATAGCAAGACCCCGTAAGTCCCCATCGTCGATCAATCTACGGATTCAACTCATAACAAAAATAGTTGTGGGTTGCAATTGTCAATCATTATGGTTTTGCTTGATTGGTGCATATATGGTGGAGTGATATGATACGATATTTGATGATAACTTTGTATATTTTGGGGATGAGAAAGCTGTTGAGGAAGAGTGGCACTGCCCGGTTCATCCACCACTAGGATCGAGCTGTATCATTTTAATTAGCTTAGCTTGGTTTGTGCTGAGAGAGAGCACTTTTTGAGAGGAAGTGGAGGGGAGGGGAAGCACTAAGGTCAATATATTGGATTTTGGCACGCGAAGGAGAATATTATAATTAACCTGATCGAAGAAGATCTCATATGTCTGCATATAACAACACAAAGATGGGATATGGAATGATATACCATAATATATTTTTTATGCCAAATGGGGCTGCAGGCTGCTGCTCACTCAGGGCTTATTGATTAGCTTGAATACCTACTTGCGAGTTGCAATTATAGATGAGTTTGGCAAGTAGGATATACTAAACACGAAAGTGCATCAGACTGTATCACATATATATGTACGTATGTGGTCGACGTGTCGGATAGAGGTTTTGTGTCCAAACTACTGATAACAACTCAGTACGCCGTGGTCCTTTATGCGGTTATGCTTCTTCAACAATTATATTCGCGACCTGAAGATTGTAATATATACTAAACACGAAAGTGCATCATAACGACTTATTTTTTCTCTAGACCGACTCCATCCTAGTCATATGATGGTGGTAGTGGTGGTTAGGCTCCTTCAACCATCAAATTCTTCTTTGGACGTGTGGTATGTAACAAAGAATGCAACACCACTACTTTTTTTTTTTTTTCATGCATCCAAACCGTTTGCACCGTAATTATAAGTTGACAAGTGGAATAGCAGAGGACATATTAGCATCATGCTTATGTCTAGTGGGTGTGGCTACGATGACTTATGGTAAACTCCGAGTAACCTACTTGGAGTTTGATGGAGGTTTGCAGATAACCATATTGTCAATCAGCTTGATCGAAAAGTGAGTCAGGTCGAGACATGACTAATAAGGTACATCACAATCACATTGTGGTTGACCTAATCCTGTGGTCGACCTGACCAACGTTGTGGTCTACCAAAATCCACCTCCCAAAACAAACTCCAAATAAGATTTACTTGAATTTACTGCAAGTCATGGTTGCAAACTCCCAACAACATAACCAAAATTCGTATTAATGGTAACGAATTATTTTAATAATATTATGATAGTATCTCGCCATACATATACATGTAAATTATAATAATTGCTTATAAAACAATTTCTTTTTTGGCAAGTAGCTAGGACACTAGCTCGAGTATGAGCACTTCTATTATGCTATATAGCATTGGTGCTTTAATGTACAATTTGAAGTTGTACCATAATATTGAATGTATAAGTTTGGGTTGTACCATAAACAAATTTGAATCATCATGTTATAGTACAACTTTACAACTTGAAGTTGTACCATCACATAAGGTACAAGTTTAAGTTGTACCATAAAAGAATTTGTACAAAAAGTATAGGTACAATCTGAAGTTGTACCATAACGTTAAATGTACAATTTCAAGTTGTACCATAAAGGCAAGAACCTATAGCACCAATGCTATATAGCATTGTAAAATTCCTCGCTCGAGTATTTCTTTTTTGGCAAGTAGCTAGGACACTAGCTTGAGTAGTCCTACTTGATAGACCCACATGAGAATATAGTGCTTCCTCCATTAACGTGTTTTGAATGGCAAAACATTAATGGAGGTCCAAACTTGGCAACACCATGAATCATTGAGAGAGAAAATTAGGAAGAGAAAGGAGGGAGGGGTGGGTATATTAATCTTAAACAAAGGATTAAGATAGCAAAATACTTGAGTTGTCACTCATTATAGCTTTGTCCCACACGATTAATGATCACGAGTTTGCTTCCTAGGTTGGAAGACAACCACCATAAACAACCACGATCCTACTTTTGACTTGTGGCTAGCGTAGATTCGTTCAATGACTCTAATCATGATTACTTTAAAGTTAATTTGAAGATCGAAATGACAAATTTTTTTTAACTAATTACAACTGCATGGCTCGAGAGCTATGGATCCCATACATTGGGAAATCGACTTTGCCTCCTCGAATGGCCCAGCTCGCTTTTGGGGCTTAGACGGCCCCTTTTGTCAAAGATGAGGTTGCTCTAAGAAAGGAAGGCCCAATAGTTTCCGGGCCTCCTTGAGTTTGGTACGATTAGTTTCGTTAGGGCCTGGGAAGTAAAATCCTCTGTAAAATTCAATGGCCCAATAATAAAACCATCATGGGTTGTGCAAGTTTTACCTCATATTTTATTTTCATTTTTTTAAATCTTGTTTAATTGATTTGAATATTTGATTGATAATTTGATCCATCCTCCCACACAAGTCTAAAACGCGAGTACTTTCTTGATAACCCGCCTCAGATATGAAGCTTTGAGTATTCAGTGAAGCTCGCGTTATTCCTAATAATATAACTCGATAACCGATCGTTTCTTCCAAAGAGCGTCATATTCATTCCTCTATGATATTCACATTATTCACAAATATTCAGTCTTGATTTAAAAAAATTATAATTTAATCCATAACAAATTTTGCATTGAATCCATAATGGCCATTCACAAGATAAGCGCTCGGGTTACAGCCATACCATACAGTGCGAGGGCCAAACAAAGTTTTCGTGTTGTTGATTCCTAGGGGTCGTGCTTTTTCCTGGTTCGTCCGGGGGAGAGATTGAGCTTCAAGAAATAGTGAATGGTCTTATCAATACACAAATGTATAACTCCTCAGGAATTTCAAATGCGCTTATGTTCATCACCATAGGAATTGAGTTCGGTAGTTCCTCATAAAAAATTATTGACTCTAGAGATAGAGTAACATGAAGAAGACAAAATTGTTTCAAGCACCGACAGAACTAGAAGCAATGGATGGCTTTATACTAAACCCATATTTCTTCTCATTTTCATTTTGGAACTCACACCCTTCCCCTTCCTATAATGCGGGTGCCTATTTAATTTTTCATTCGTGGGTCACTTTTGCTAGCATTTCAAAGAGCCGACTTTCATTGGATTGTCCTTCTCCCATAATGAACAAGCTTCCCAATAAACTAGGTCGCCAAAGTAGTTTTACCAGTCACAATATCTTAGTATGTGTTCTTGGGTTTCTAGTAATCCACAAAATTGACAATCATCACTTGCATCTCTAATCCTTTTTGCTTATGCCCCCAATTGTTGGTAGAATGTTACTGCTCAATATTTAGAGAAAAAAATCTTGCCTTTGGTGGAATTTGCAAATGCCAAACACTTTTTCAGTCTACTGAGATATATATTTCTTTTTCTCCTCCTTCATTCTTATGATTCCTCCATTCATGGTATCCTGACTTTACTTAGTATATTTCCAATCTATCTTACCCCAAATTCTTGTCATTTTTTGTTTTGGGTCGATAGGGGTATATAAACTATTTTGTTTTTGTCAACTGATTAGACATACTATTGCAAAACATTGATTTTTCATTTGCTAGTTGATTGATCAATAAGATATGATACCATGGCCTGCATTCCCTGTCCTACAATTGGTGATTGAACTTGGAAAGTAGGGCTATTTGGTATTCACTTGTCCCACCATACCCACATTCTCCTCGTCCCAATTCTCTACATTATTCCATCTCTTATTTGGATCGAGCCGCCATTAGAGTTCTCCATACGAAGTTGGATTGCTCTTATAATATTTTTCTTTTAGCACTCGTGCAACCAAGGAAGCAAGATTTTTCACAATGTTCCATATTTATCAACCCGATAATGATATATTAAATCCATGAAGGTCCCTAAATCTCATACCCCCTGCATACTTTGGCTCAATAACCTCTCCCAACTCATCCAACGGATCTGTCTTTCCTCTTTCTTCCCCCCCCCCCTACCAAAATCCAGCAATTAAGCTCTATAGCTCTTGAATAACTCCATGTAGAATTAGGAATATCGATATTGCATAAGTTCCTTATGCCTGAGCTATATCCTTGACCAAAACTAGTTTGCAACATTGGAG